AGCCAACTTGGTATCTCTTCTCAAGTTTTCGTTCTTTTTTTGTCATTTTCGTTTTCGATATTGTTTTTGTTGCAGTTATTTTGCAAATATTATGCAAATATCCCCCCACCGTTAATGGTAATTGCAGCCATGGCGAATAAAGTATTAATTGCCAATAATTATATTGCTTGGGAGCGATATTTATTTATTTAACTTTTATTTTGGCATTAGATAGTGTGAACGATAGTGTTTAAGAGCGAGACCAATAAGTGTGGGATAAATTGTTATTGGTGGATAATTTTTATTTTGGAAATAAATTTAATTACCAATAGAATTTTTATTGCATACTTTTAGGTTAAAAAGTCTTATTTTATTTGTTTAGCATATTCTCAGGATAGGTTAATAAAATATACAAAGACTTGAAGTTTTGACAAATTATTTTTAAGAAATACCAAGTCGTAGATTTTTCTACCCTACACAAGTATGTTGTCAGGGTATTATTGCTTTGTGCCGACCCAAGAGTTTGTAACGCCTCGCAATATTGTTCCCAGACCCACCCACCTTGGTAAAGATAGGTTAATATTTAAGGCATGAAATGGACCAAAAACTTTATTTTTGTCGGGTATTCTGGTCGCTCCAGAGGCCGCAATTATGACCCAAACATCTCTAATTTTTACATGGAGAAGGGCATTGGGCCAAAGAATAACCATGACTGTTTTTATAAAGAAGGTCAATATTTAGCGGGTCAAATGGGCCCTGACTATTGTGTGATATATATACAGCGTATATAGTCATCCCTGAAGGACATAGACCCGATAAGTTTATGGTATATTCAAGAGGAGTGGTTCATACCAATAATATTGTCGTAAGTGCTCGGTTGTGGGAGTTACACTTAAATATTTTCAGGAGCTTACGTATTTAGATAATATTTAGTAACCCATTATCACACTGGAGGGCAGACTATAGCGCTGAACGTTTTGAAATGTTCCATGAGGTTTCAATTATGGTCAAGGACAACGCCTATAATTTTCGGTGATGATCAGATAATAATTTTGGGATGAAGTGGACCGAAAACTTAAATATTGTGTGTTTATACCCTTCACCACACTGTGGTACAGGGTATTATGTCTTTGTGCATATGTTTGTAACAGGAAACGAGATAGACACATGATTCCTTTTGAGGATAAGCACAGAAACAATTTCTGAGTCCATTTATGCATGTCCGTCCGTCTGTCCGTCCATGTATTTTTGTGAACAAAGTACAGGTCGCATTTATGATCCGATTTGGATGAACTATGGCATAGGTCACTTGTTTGACTCAAGGACGAACCCTGTTGAAATTGGGAGAAATCGGTTCAGTTTTATATATAACTCCCATATATATTTTCGTATGATTTTATGTAAATGGTACACCAAAGTCCCTATATATCTCTCGATTTGCACGAAATTTGGCACAGCGTAATAAATTAGGTATAGAATGATGTGTTTTAAGTTTCCTGAAAATCGGTTCAGATTTAGATATAGCTCCCATTTATATTTTCGTCCGATTTAAGGTAAATGGTGTACCAAAGTCCCTTAATATCTTTCGATTTGCACGAAATTTTGCACAGCATAATGAATTAGGTATAGAATGATGTGTGTTGAGTTTTGTGAAAATCGGTTCAGATTTACATATAGCTTCCATATATATTTTCGTCCGATTTGGTGTAAATGGTGCACCATAGTCCCAACATATCTTTCGATTTGCATGAAATTTGGCACAGCGTAATAAATTAGGTCTAAAATGATGTGTGTTAAATTTCGTGAAAATCGGTACAGATTTAGATATAGCTCCCATATATATTTTCGTCCGATTTAAAGAAAATGGTCCATCAAAGTCTCTATATATCTTTCGATTTGTACGAAATTTGGCACAGCGTAATAAATTAGGTATAGAATGATGTGTGTTAAGTTTCATGAAAATCGGTTCAGATTTAGATATAGCTTCCCTATATATTATCGTCCGATTTAATGTAAATGGTACACCAAAGTCCCTATATATCTCTCGATTTGCACGAAATTTGGCACAGCGTAATAAATTAGGTATAGAATGATGTGTGTTAAGTTTCGTGAAAATCGGTTGAGATTTAGATATAGCTCCCATATATATTTTCGTCTGATTTAAGGTAAATGGTCCACCAAAGTCCCTATATATCTTTCGATTTGCACGAAATTTGGCACAGCGTAATAAATTAGGTCTAGAATAATGTGCGTTAAGTTTCCTGAAATCGGTTCAGATTTAGATATAGCTTATATATCTGACCAAATGCAAAATTTAGTATCGGTTGCAGAATGAAACATGTCATGGATCCAATTTCATTTTACTGGTCCTTTAAAAATGCGACGTCTTTTAGGATTCATCTGTTAAATATACCCATCGTGGTGAAGGGTATCATATAGTCGACCCCATCAGACTTTACTACTTTCCTTACTGGTTTTTTTTTTCGAGTCGATCTATAGGCCACAATTGAAAGCCGAGCATCACAACACAACCTACGGTGAGGGGAAATGAAGACAAGTATTTAGAGGCACTGTACTGAATATTTAGTAATATCCGGAAAATATGTCAGTGTAAGGAAGTAGTGCTGTTGACCTCTAATCGGGCAAGAGGATGCAAATATCACGAAATATTGCCCAGGCTCGAAATAAAAATCCGCAGAAGGGTAGAGTTTCGTGGTAGTTGGTAGTAGGGTATCGTTCACTGCTTATTGGTTTACACAATTGAAATATTTGAAACATTATAAATCCCATAATTTTTGATTTCCCCCTCCTCTTCTTCTTCCCCGTTGTTGTTGTTTTGTAAATTGATTTGTTAATCCTTTAATACACCGAAAACATTCAATCTGCTGTGTGTACTTTTTTTCCGAACAATGGCCTTATATTAATTCCGTGTGGGTGTGTGTGTGAATGTGTGTGTCTTGCTGTAAATATGCATAAATTGTAAATGAGAGTTGATTAAATTATATTCTCATTTATTTGTATAATTACATTTGTTTATTGAAAAGCCTGGCTAAATGATGACAACTATGACACTGCTGCTGCTGCAGTTGTCTGCTTGCTAGAAGCTACGTTGATATGATACTAGCCATTGTCCATGCAGCTGGTAAGCCGAGGCAATGGCGTAGTACTTTTTGTTATAATGATAAATGTTTTAGATCAACGAAAACAAATTATATATTTTATAAAATGTGATGCATACTTTTAGGTGTTAATATAAATATGTGTCTAAATTAAAAACCAGTAAGGAAAGTAGGAAAGTCGGACGGGCCCGACTATATGATACCCTTCACCACTGTGGGTATATTCAACAGATGAATACTAACAGACGTCGAATTTTTAAAGGACGATTAACATGAAAATGGATCCATAAACATGTCATTCTGCAACCTATACTATATTTTTCATTTGGTCAGATACAGGGTTGCTTCAAGCTAGGTTATATCTACTTCAGTACGCGGTGCCAAATTTTTTGTCAATCGGCCTACCTTGGGGTGAACCATTTATATATCGAACGAAAATATATATGGGAGCTACATCTAAATCTGGACCGATTTTCAGGAAACTTAACCCACATCATTCTAGACCTAATTCAGTACGCTGTGCCAAATTTCGTGGACATCTATATATATATAGGGACTTTGGTAAACCATTTACATTAAATCGGACGAAAATATATATGGGAGCTATATCTAAATCTGGACCGATTTTCAGGAAACTTAACGCACATCATTCTAGACCTAATTCATTACGCTATGCCAAATTTCGTGCAAATCGAAAGATATATAGGATTTTTGGTACACCATTTACATAAAATCGGACGAAAATATATATGGGAGATATATCTAAATCTGGACCAATTTTCAGGAAACTTAACACACATCATTCTAGACCTAATTCATTACGCTATGCCAAATTTCGTTCAAATCGAAAGATATATAGGGAGTTTGGTACACTATTTACCTTAAATCGGACGAAAATATATATGGGAACTATACCTAAATCGGAACCGATTTTTCCCAATTTCAATAGGGTTCGTCCTTGGGCCAATTAAGTGACCTGTGCCAAATTTCATCCAAATCGGATCATAAATGCGACCTGTACTTTGTTAACAAAAATACATGGACGGACAGACGGACATGCATAAATCGACTCAGAAAGTGATTCTATGCATATTCTCAAAAGGAACCATGGGTCTATCTCGATTATTTTTGACTGTTACAAACATATGCACCACATTGTGGTACAGGGTATTATGTTTCAAGAGAGGCCTAATATCCTTTTACAAAACTTGGTGCATACTTTTAGGTGTTAGTGTTCTCATATTAAATTTATTGCATACTTTCAGGAGACTAAATTTGATTTTTGTATTTTATTTTTTGTTTGCTGGGTTATTATATTTAAATAGCCACGTCTCTATTCGAATATCGTCTCACATCATTTATTTGATGCTCATGGCTGAGCTCATATTTATAGTTGACAATTATTTAATAATAATCACATGTTGCAATAATAATGACACTTCACATTCACATATAAGTACGTGCCATGATAATGTGATTATATGTATACCCCTCTCCCTCCCGCACTACAACAGCATCCCGTGGTGGTATGTGTGTGTTTGTAATATATGCAAAATATAAATAATTGTTAAGTATTATCCATATTTCATTAAGTCACTCACTACTACTGGCACAGCAGCAGCTGCTGCTGCGGATGATGATGTGTTTGACAACAATAACAACAAAAATAGGGAGATGATGTTGGCATTTGATGTCTGTATTGAAAACTGATGGGCGGGGGAAATTGTCATTCTCTGGGTAATCAAACTGCAACTTGTTGCTTTAACAGGCACACATACACATTATGAAACTGACACTTATTTTTATTTTTATTGAAATTTAATAAATTTAATTCAATTTGAAAATTTATTATAAAATTTACTAAAATTCCCTCTTTTCTCTCTCCCTCTCTCTCTTCCACAGGACTATGACAAAGAGATACCTCCACACAAAATCAATTCCCCCTTGGGTAATAACATCAACGATATGCCAATACACTACAATGGGCCCCATGAGGATGGAGATGACGGTACAGGTGCTCCTGGCACCACCACCACACTGGAGGAGGATGACAAAGAGCATCTCAAAGAATTGGAATTTTATAAGAATTTAGCCAAGGCCGCATCGTTGGCCTCACAAAACAACAATAACAACAACACAAGTAATAATAATTTAGATAAATCACCAATACCTCATCTGCATCACCATCATCAGTTACACGAACCGACACACAGTTCGAATGATATGCATTTATCATCGCCAGCACCCTCACCGGAACCCATGCAAATCGATGTGGATCCACATTTACATCATCATTTACAACGTGCCAAAGAGGAAGATATCCAGCAAGATGAGACGTCTCTGCTGCATCATGGCCATGGTCATGGCCATCATCATCACGAGGATCACAATATGACCGATGTTGATGCTGAGCTGGCGGAACAGCAGTCATCGGAACAAGCTAAAGCTTTAGCTGCGGCAGCAGCAGCTGCCCAGGCTCATCTAAATGGAACTAGTGAGTACATATCGATATCCAATTTTATATAGACTTATGAAAAATGGCAAACAGACACACGCATTTCCACAGAGACACAGAATTTTCCATCCAAAATTAAAAATTGGTAATATTTATAATTCAGCAAAATTTTTGTTATAAAACTTCCTCAAAATGCGCCTTTAAAATCCAACACAAAATAAACCAATCAAAATTTCTATACATAAACCATTTTCAGCCAAATTTTCGAATTCAGCTAAGTTTTTATTGCAATTCAGCAAAATTTTTAAGGCCAAATTACCTCAAATGAAGTATATTATAATCTTTTTAACCAAAATCATGAATTCAGCTAGTTTTCAAAACGAAAATTGTATTCAGCAAAGTTTTATTGCAATTCAGCAACATGTTTAAAGCCAAAATAAGATTCTAATTGAAATATTTTAAAAATTTATGTCATACAAAAATCTTTAGATATAATATTCAGCCAAATTTTGGACAAAAATCGAATTCAGCATAGATTTTTTGCAATTCAGCAACACTTTAAAAAAGGCTTTAAAATTAAATACATTAAGATTTTATGGCATAAAATATTCTCTGGATATAATTTTGAGGCAAATTTTGGACAAAAAATCGAATTCAGCAACATTCAATTGCAATTCAGCAAAATTTTAATGGCAAAATTGCCTCAAATGAAGCTATTTTACGAGGCAATACCGTTAATTCAGCAAGTTTTCAATATGAAATATGTATTCAGCAAAGCTTTATGGTAATTCAGCAACAGTTTAAAATGAAGTATTATCCTTAAATTTAAATGTTCTAAGAATTTATAACACAATATTTTTTTACAGACCATTTTCAGCCAAATTTTGGTCGAAAAATCTAATTCAGCAACATTTAATTAAAATTCAGCAAAATTTTTTGTGGCAAAATTGTCTGAAATGAAGCTTAATTATTACTTTTTGAACTATAACCTTAAATTCAGCTGGATTTTAATACGAAAACCATATTCAGCAAAACCATTTCTTATCTGTATACCAAAAATGTAATTCAGCTAAGTTTTATTGCTGAATATTTCAAAAATTAATATTCAGCAAACATTTTTGGAAATTTTGTAAAGCGAAATAAGGTCTATTAAGCTGAATATGGGAAATTAAATACCAAATTTGTAAGATTAAGGCCACAAAATTCAATTCAGCTAAGTTTTTTTTGCTGAATATATTCCAGCTCATATTTTTGGCAATACAATAAAGCTGTATAGGTATTATAAGGTATGAAATGATGTCCATATAAGTTAATAAAATGCTCAAAAAAGTTATTCAGCTAAGTTTTTTGGCCAACTATTTTATCCATCCTTTGCTGAATAGGTTTTATGCATTTTTTCTAATCTGAAAACCTACATAAAAATCCTTTAATTGTCATTGCCTTTCAATTATCGTTTCGAATCCTACCAACTGATTTTGTTTCCCAAATTTCTCCTCACCACTACTACCACCTACCTTTACTCATACTCACACACACACACACCCTCCACCACATGCAAGCTATTTCACCCAGTAAATTTTATTAGTCTCTTCCCCCTATTCCGTTCTAGTGCAAGAAATGTTAAATTTACAAAAATTGCAAAGTCTCACCTCAACATTCCAACAACAACAGCAAGAACAGAGTATAGGCAATAGTGCGGCCACCGCTGCCGCCCTGGCAAGTCTCCAGGGTCTGGCTGCGGGGATACAAGCCACAGCTGCCGCAGCTGCCCTCAACTCGCCACTGAATTTAAGTGTGGCCAATAGTGCTGGTATACCCACAAGTATGGCTTCGGAATTACTTAACTCGCACAAAGTTATGGCCCATATGACTGAGGCGGCTGGCAACAGCAACGGTGGTGGTGGAGATAGTCAAAATCAACGGAACTCCACTTCACCGAATCATGGTTCGAATAGCCTGACGGGTGGAGGACAATCAACGGCTTCATCATCACAAAATGCTTTAGCCAATGCTTTGAGTAATGCTGCAGCAGCAGCGGCGGCGGCTCAGGGTACAGCAGCCACGGCATCGCCACCACCACAGCTGCAGGCACCACCGGCCAGTGCACAAATGCCGCAGCTGATATTGGCATCGGGGCAATTGGTGCAAGGAGTCCAGGGCGCTCAGCTGCTGATACCCACAGCTCAAGGTAAGAGGATTTTTGCGGAATAATGTTTTTTAATTATTTTCTAAAATTTTGTTTCTATTTTTTTCTTCCTGCAGGCATTGCAGTCCAGACCATCCTCACCATACCGGTGAGTCCCCAAGTGAATACCAACGAACAATTCCTAACCAACTTCGGAGCATTTGCTGGCTTCCATCAGCAACAGACGCCACCACCACCCACCCAGGCCCAACTGCTGGGCAGTGCAGCACCCCATTTATCAGCCTCCTTGGCTGCCCTGCATCAAGCACCCACCTTACCCCAGCTGGCCCCAGCTCCAACGAATTTACTCAAACCCAATCTCTTCTCCAATGGAGTCCAACAGCTGTTGGCCGCCTTGCATCCTGAGCTTTTTGCTGCTGCCGCTGCCAATCATCATCAACAACAGCAGCATGCCCAGCAACAACAACACGCCCAGCAGCAGCAACATGCCCAGCAACAACAACACTCCCAACATCAGCAACAACATGCCCAACAGCTGGCTGCCCACCATGCCCATCATGATTTGCATTTACGTTCCGCCAATGATCGATCCCCGCCTTCTTCGCCCACAAATAGTACAAAAGCTGCGGCCGCAGCAGCTGCAGCCGCTGCTGCAGCTTTCCACCTACAATCCCAGTTGCAAATTAAAGCCGAGACCCAACCTCATTTACATCCTCATCATCATGCTGCCGCAGCAGCCGCCGCTCTGCATCATCACACCCAGGCTCTGAGGCATGCTGAGGGTTTGGCCTCTCCAAAATTGGATTGTAAATCGAAAATTAGTCTCAGTTCCGATGACAATGATGACCTACCCCTCTCCCGGCATCAGTTTGGGGCTCATCACCGTTTGGCCAACAACTCCAGTTCACCACGTCCATCCTCCAGTACTTCCAGTAGTTTGGCGCTGAGAGAACGTGAAGTCAGAGAACAGCTATCACTTAAACTCAGTCCCTCAAGAGGGTGTGGCAGTAACCCCGGATCCAGTGGCATGAATTTAAGTCAAATGGGTAGCGAACGGGAAAAGGAGAGAGAACGAGAGCGGGAAAGGGAACGTGAGCGCGAAAGAGAACGAGATCGCGAGAGAGAACGCGAGCGTGACCGTGAAGAAAAACGTGAATCCGGTTATAGGGAGCGAGAACGTGAAAGGGAACGGATACGTGCCGCCTCACCTGCCACCTTAAATGCCCGCAGTGCAGCCGCCTTGGCCAAAGAGGCTGCTGCCCAATCACATTCATCATCGTCTTCAAATAACTGCAACGAAAGAGGCTATTCATCACCTGCAGGCTCATCCACCAGTAACCAAATATATCGGGCCCATTCTCCCCACCTTTCCCATCATTCAATGGGTCGTCAAACGCCACATGCCATTTCACTGGATTCGCCACACGAAAGAGACTATTTGGGTAATGGAGGGCATATATCGGCCTCGTCCTGCTCCAATACGGCCACTTCAACGGCCAATGTACTTAGCAATATGAATAGGTAAGAACCTTCCCAACAAAATCTACCTTCAGTCCCCTAATCAATAATTTTACCTCTTCTCTTTTTATCAGACTCTCTTCCTCCAATGGTGAGCTGAGCATAACAAAATCCCATGGTTCATCTGGGGCCACTGCCACCGCCACCACAAGCGGAGGTGGCCTATCCGTTTCACCTACCCCCTCAGCGGGACCAAATATGTCTTCAACAAATGCCTCCACCTCATCAGCATCTGCAATGCATCCTCATCATTCGATGCATCCGTTGAAAATGAGTCCCACCACAAGTGCGGTCCTGCAGCAGCAAAGGGAACGAGAACGTGAACGAGAGCGGGAACGTGAGCGAGAACATATGGGTGAATTGCCACCACCACCGCCAGCTATGTCACCCAATGGAACCGAAGGATCAATTGGTGCTCATGATCTGCTAATGGATTCACCGAGTGAGTAAAGATCGTTTTCAGATATCAGAATATATTTTTTGTAGAGAATAAGTTGAGGGACAAGAAGATCAGAATAAGTCAGGGTAGACTAAAAATTCGGAAGCCTTGTTGAGGTGTTTTATAGACAAAAATATTCTTCAAATACAATTTTTTCCATTGCGTCTATTGAGGTGTATGATTCGTATTAATTATTTAATAGGCTCATGGTGCGTATAAGTACTGCCAAAACGTATACGCTCATAGGACCTCAATAACTATTAAAATTTAATTATTTGCTTACAGAAAACTTGCTGAGATATCTTTCCGTATAGGAAAAAATTCGTCAGCCTTGCTGAGATATCTTTCCGTAAAGGAAAAAATTCGTCAGCCCTAGCTGAGGTATTCTTTTCCGTATAGGAAAAAATTCGTCAGCCCTGAGGTATTCTTTTCCGTATAGGAAAAAATTCGTCAGCCCTAGCTGAGGTATTCTTTTCCGTATAGGAAAAAATTCGTCAGCCCTAGCTGAGGTATTCTTTTCATTATAGGAAAAAATTCGTCAGCCCTAGCTGAGGTATTCTTTTCCGTATAGGAAAAAATTCGTCAGCCCCAGCTGAGGTATTCTTTTCCGTATAGGAAAAAATTCGTCAGCCCCAGCTGAGGTATTCTTTTCCGTATAGGAAAAAATTCGTCAGCCCTAGCTGAGGTATTCTTTTCCGTATAGGAAAAAATTCGTCAGCCCTAGCTGAGGTATTCTTTTCCGTATAGGAAAAAATTCGTCAGCCCTAGCTGAGGTATTCTTTTCCGTATAGGAAAAAATTCGTCAGCCCTAGCTGAGGTATTCTTTTCCGTATAGGAAAAAATTCGTCAGCCCCAGCTGAGGTATTCTTTTCCGTATAGGAAAAAATTCGTCAGCCCCAGCTGAGGTATTCTTTTCCGTATAGGAAAAAATTCGTCAGCCCCAGCTGAGGTATTCTTTTCCGTATAGGAAAAAATTCGTCAGCCCTAGCTGAGGTATTCTTTTCCGTATAGGAAAAAATTCGTCAGCCCTAGCTGAGGTATTCTTTTCCGTATAGGAAATAATTCGTCAGCTCTAGCTGAGGTATTCTTTTCCGTATAGGAAAAAATTCGTCAGCCCTAGCTGAGGTATTCTTTTCCGTATAGGAAAAAATTCGTCAGCCCTAGCTGAGGTATTCTTTTCCGTATAGGAAAAAATTCGTCAGCCTTGCTGAGGTATTCTTTTCCGTATAGGAAAAAAATTCGTCAGCCTTGCTAAGGTATTCTTTTCCTTATAGGAAAAAATTCGTTAGCCTTGCTGAGGTATTTTTTCGCATAGGAAACAATTCGTGAGCCTTGCTGAGGTATTTTTTCGTATAGGAAAAAATTCGTCAGCCCTAGCTGAGGTATTCTTTTCCGTATAGGAAAAAATTCGTCAGCCTTGCTGAGGCATTTTTTCTGTATATGGAAAAATTCGTGTCCTTTGGATCGTATGATTGGTATTAATTCATTAATTTAGGTTGCGTATAAGTACTGTCAGAACGTATACGCACGCTGGACATCACAAGAATATTCAAATTATTATTTCTGCTATAATATTTATATATTTTTTTCATTTTTAATCATCAGCCTTGCTAAGATCCTTTCAATATCCTTCAAAAATTCTCCTTTTTTGTTCATTTGACAACTGAAAATTCCCTCTTATGCAACTTGCGATAAACTATCTTCATTAGACTCCAAGCAAACTTTTGCGAACCACCTTCCCTTCTCTCCTTCCGAAAAATCTAAACAATATTGACATGTTCTCCATTAAGATAAAGTTTTCGTGTATTCGTTTACCTGTATAGATCTCTTCTAAGCTAATTTCCAATTAAACTATACGCTAATTCTTCTCCAGCAGCTCCTGCTGCTTCTTATTCCTCATTCACTTCTTAACATATGAGTGACATTAAGCCTTGCAGCAAAAGATTTTCGTGGTTTCAAATTGTGTCAGGATTCATTTATTGTTGCTGTTGTTGATATCCGTTGATGACAAGGATAATGTCGATGCTTGTGTTGTTATTGTTGCTGCTACTGTTGCGAAAAATGCAATTTGCAAAGTATTAGAATTTTTTGTTTAGCAATATTCTAAAGATTATATTTACAAAAGTTTTCAGGTGGCAAGGGGAAGGATGTGCTCAACACTTTTGATTATGAGTTGGAATGGAATTAGAGGTATCCAAGGTAATCACGGGTTTAATGTGCAAAGAGACAGTGGAAAGGAAAAAATACGAAGAAATTGCTTTATTTTCTATAAACATTGTTTGGCTTTATGGAATCCTAAAAATAATAATTTTAATATTATTTTGGAGCTCATTGTGCGTATACATATTGACAGTACTTATACGCATCAATGATTTAATAATTAATACAAATCATACGCACCAAAGAACAGAGTAAATTTGTTAATTTGTTATGGGAGAATACTTCTGATGGGCATACGAATTTCCTTCTATGAATTACATTTATTTGAACGGAAGTCCATTTGGCTCTCCAAAAACTGGACCACAGGATTTTTTCCTTGCCCGATTTCTTCCATACGAAAAATGCTTTGGAAAGGCCGATGAATATTTTTCTAGAGGACAACGACACCCCAGCAAGGCTTACGAATTTCTTCCTCTTGGACAAAAAATACCTCGCATGGCTGACGATTTCTTTTTTATAAAAAACTATGTCCGAATGACCGATTTCTACAATTTTTGACCCAAAAAGTTCAATATTATTAGCCTAATTATTTTATCCCACTGTAATTTCTTTTCGTTCTCTATCATTTGTGCTCGTAAGCATCTTCTAAGTCTATTCAACATATACCTGACACCAGTAAAATATTAGAGAGACAACGATGACATCAACCCACACAATTTTCGAAAACTTTTTCCCAAAAAATAAGTCAAATATGCTACTCATCAGCTGCTTGCTGCTCGATATAAACATCAATGACGTTCTTTAGAACTTCAATATTGTCGAAAGTTTTCCAACTTGGCTTAAGTTTAATTAACACACTGTTCTATTGTTGTAGCAATAAAATAATTGGGAATATTTATGATAGGTTAAATTTAACACGCAAAATAATTATTTGAAATAGATTTTAAAGTGCAGGGTGCGTATACGTGTGGTCAACAGTTATACGCCCCATCGTTTTATTAATTAACATGAATTATTATTAACAATAGACAAAACGAATTTTTTTCTCAGCAAGGCTGACGAATTTTTTCTAGACGGAAAAAATACCTCAGCAAAACTGACGAATTTTTTCTAGACGAAAAAAATACCTCAGCAAAACTGACGAATTTTTTCTAGACGGAAAAAATACCTCAGCAAGGCTGACGAATTTTTTCTATACGAAAAAATACCCCAGCAATGCTATAGAATTTTGTTCCATTGGAATAAATTAACTCAGGAAGGCTGACGAATTTTTTTCTATGAGAAAAATTAACTCAGTAGGGCTGACATTTTTTTTAATATCTCAGCAAGGCTGACGAATTTTTACCTTTTGAAAAAAAATACAAAAAAAACTCAGGAAGGCAGACGATTTTTTTCGTATTGAAAAAATACCTCAATCAGTCAGATGAATTTTTTCCTATACAAAAAAAAAACTCAGCCATCTATGGAAAAACCATTTTCTCTATAGGAAAAAAATCCTCCTCAAGTTTCACGAATTTGTATCCACGGAAAAAATGTTAATTATTTTTATCTATGGCATAACGATTTGTTGAACAAAAATCTATCCAGCTCAAAAAATAATTATTTTAATATAATGTACGTATAAGTCATGGCAGTACTTATACGCACCAAAACGTTATTAATTAATGTCAATCATACGAATCAAATGACAGAGAAAAATCGCTTTTGTTTTCGGCTGACTATTGCTACAACTATCGATTTTTTTGCTATGGAAAAAACACCTTAAAAAGACTGGCTATTTTTTTCTATTTCAAAAAATATTTCAACAAAGCCATTTTTTTTTTTTTTTTTTTTGTATCTGTTAACGATTTTTTCTGTAAAACAAAACCTTAGCAAGGCGGAAAATTGTTTCCTCTATTAAACAAAATACCTCAGCTGGTGCCGATATATTTGTTTCTATACAAGCCTATTTTATTATCGTATAACAACAAATTTTTCAAAATACGGGGTGCGTATAAGTGATGTCGTTGCGTATACGTTGACAATTACAAACTTTCAAGAAAGAAATTTGTCAGATTTGTTGAGGTTTTGTCCGTATAGGAAAGATGATGATGATATATTCTTTTTCCGTATAGGAAAAAATTCTTCAGCTTTCCTGGAATATACATTGAAAAGAAAAAATTCAGGTGTCCTTTGGTGCGTATGATTGGTATTAATTAAGGTTGCGTATACGTACTGTCAGAACGTATACGCACACTGGACTTCACAAAAATATTTAAATGATTATATCGGCTATAATATTTATATATATTTTTTTGGTTTCTAATCATCAGCCTTCCCGAAGTCCTTTCAATATCCTTCAAAAATTCGCCTTTCAGAGAATATATTTTTGAGAGAAGTTTCGTGGAACTTTCGCATTGATTACATTTTTAGTTTAATATATTTTGGAATTTATATTCCTCCATAGCACTTTCCTTATTTCAATTGTGTCTCTAACCAAAATACCGTTGATAAGTAATTTGTCTAACCAGCAACAACAATTTTTTAATTGCATATTTTTCTAATTCAATCAGAGACAAACAAAAAATGGGCAAAAATATTTGATTACCACAAAAAAAAAATAACCTCAAAAAAATATATGTTTACATGCATTCACACACTCACACACATATGACGGGATAATAAAACCTTTCAACCATTTCACTTCACATCGCTCATCATGAGTTTTATGATGTAGTCCATTATTCACCTTCGTTAAGTATGCGGAAATGCTATATTTTTTGGGGGGTAGTTATATTTGATTATGGTTATGGACGTTTTCGCCGGCTATGATGAAGCCCTCGGGGGGCTGCAGGCTACATATT